TGGATGCTTGGCGGTCCACGACTTTGCGTATTACTAGGAGTTTTCTTAATTGGAAGTCTTTTCTCTGTGGGATTGTTTACAACTGGCGATTTTTCCGAACCGATACAACTTAGGCACCTTCAAGAAAAGAGCTTACTCCTTTCGAATGTCGGCTGAAACAGGCCGGCAACGTACCTGCGATTCCCCTCGTGTTCTATAAATATGGATATATTGCACGTTATGATATGGATATATGCAGCTGAAATAAAGTAACTGACATAGCCAAATGGATCAATAAAATGATAAGACAATAGAGCGGCGATAAATATAGCGATAAAGTTCGGTGAACTGAGAATCGATGAGGACCAAAAGTTCTCGAGTGGCAGTTACACCAGTACGCGAAGCGTAGGACAGTCCCCCATTAGATGAATGGGAAAACATGCAAGTAGTCGATGGATAAACGTAGCCTAGAGCTGCACCATTTTTTATAATGGTGACAAACAGGGATACTGTTAACTGATGGTTAATGGATGCTGTGGTCCATAGATATCTACATATAAGCTCGCATAAGGTAACGACTAAAATATCGTTATAGTAAAAAAATAAAGCATTAGCAATTTTTAAATTCAGCTAAAATTGCCGAGTCTAAACTTCACAGATGAGTGATGTAAAGCATTTCCAGTGCGAGTCTATTGGCACCGAGCTATTAATAAACTCCCAGCCATCGTTTATTAATAGCTCGGTATCATGGAATATACTACACTCTTGCCTACTTTGCCGCCAAATAGCAGTGTGTGTACTCCTGTGTACCTGTCTGAAGAGTATATAGAGAGCCAGTACAATTACTCACATTCCATCTTAGCACTCATAGGTGACATCTGTAGTTCTTTATTTAAATCTGGCAGTCTATGAGCTGCTGTAGCCATTAAGCAACTGCGCGAAACATGAATAAAGTGCACCAGTTGTGCATAAATTTTAGCACATGTTAGAGCCACGCTGCAGCCATATTATAGTTGTAGCCCGAATGGGTCGGCTCAACCGGGGCAGGATAACGCTCTCACAGAATACCACCGTAAAATAGCAGTGTAATGCCGCTATGTTTCTTTTGGTGAGTGTAGAGAACCGGAGATACCTTTGACAACCCGTAAAAGGTATCTCCGTTTGGACAAAAGTACGTCTTCTCCCGACGTATTTTTGTTCAAACGGGAGATGTAGAGCTGTATGGTGGGATCCACAATACGCAGAGTTGTACTTGCGTTTATTTTGGCGGTCCCACGCTGGGTACAGACAGATCTCGACCGACGTCTCTTCTCGACAAGAGTAAACACGTCATTCTCTCTCTTGGTCGGGTCACCACAGGAACTGATTTCACAACCACATTCTTTTATTTTCGACCACATGAGGGTAACGGTGTAAATTTTCGAGCAACATCCGCAAACGTCTTTCCTTGTTGACAGGTTGGCTTCGGCGGAGGAGTACTCAAGGGTTCAGTCAAGGGCTGAGGTGGTGATGCAATAACGACCGAGGTCGCCCTAGTTTTACGCTCATCAACCCGCTGACAGACGGTATCGCGTGACGGAGTCGCAATCATCGGTGAAATATGACTACTATTACAATTACCGCGTGTCTTATTTACATTCTGCGACGGCGGTGAATTCGCAGATGTTGCAATTATGTTGCGCAACATAGTGACTTCGTTCTTCAGCTCTGTTGCGGCTCGTTACGATTCTTCAAATTTGAAATGGAGGTCGGTGACTTCGGCTTTCAAAGTGGTGATGTCTTTCAACAATCTCGTCACGTCAACGTGATCGAACGTCACGGGAGGCAGCTTGTTAAGATCACGCACGACGAAAGTTGGGATGTCATCAGAATCGGTCTCATTGAACAGTCTGAAGATGTCTTGCAGGTCTTTCTTACCGCGTCCATCTCTATGACGTGTGATAAGACGGATTCGGGTCACGGCTGAATCTGCTAACACCTTCTTTGCTTGGATGAGCTCGTGTTCTGTGAAGCTGGTCATCAGTATCTTCTCCAGGGAGACCTGGTCCATGACGTCAAATTTTTGTTGAACAAAGGCCAGGACTCGTTAACTACGACGGTATCGGATCGTTTAGGTTGACACGCCATTTCGAATTATTTTCGCGCAGTTGGTATGCTTACGCTACGAAAATATTGTAGGTTCGGCATTGGAGCCGCCACATAATTATGAAGCGACTGTACTGACCAGCAGTAGAAACGCGACTGAATGATTGTACAAAAGTACGTCGGGAGAAGACGTCCTGCGTTTCGTGGAAGAACGAAGCCGATGCCGCATAGAGGATCCAATCTCTTTACATTTGCAGCGTCTGGAGTCTAATAGGTCCACGAACTTCAAATCCTACGTACTCCGGGTTCCTGCAAAATACAAGGAGACATTCCTTGCTCCCGATTTCTGACCCTCTGGGGTAGTGTTTCGCCGATACAGGGACGCGCCAAAGAAGAAAGTTCCATAAATAGTGTTATATTTATATTTTATATATATTTTTAGGTTAAGGTATATATTGCTATGGGCCAATGTTCTTAATTTTTAATTGAAATAAAGTTATTGTATTGTATTTACTGAAATTGAGGCATTCCATCTTAGTCCTTAGGGGTGACAATGCATTTGCATTTTGATTCTTAATTGAGGATAAATGTGGATGTCTATGGGCTACAGCATCTAATTACCATCAGGTGGACTGTGTGCTAGTTTGTCACCCAATGCCTATATACATTATCTGATCCCTCCCCTCGTAGTTCGATGGGATGTCAATCGGACATAACCGGAGAGGATCAGTCCCAGGACCCTCAGCTTTACGTGATTTCCGAAGAACAAGGGTGAAATATCGCTCATTACTGCCTCCGGGCTGGTTTTGAGAATTTCTTGACAGAAAAACTAAATTTAACCATCAGCAATCATGTTTACGATCACACCTGAAACAACGCAAGATTTAACGTATTACGAGCATGGAGTTGCAAGACAGTTAAATAGTTTTAACTGTCTTCGAACTCGATGTTTATTCGTCGATGTGATTAAATGTTTTATTCGTTTTTCGGCTAGACATAATTAAAAAGTAAAACTGAAGTTACATCGCTTATACTACTTCTATAAAATTCTCTCATTTTTCAGAGGGTCTAAGGGGAAGGAAAAGTCCACCGTGGTGACCCAATGCGTGTTGGCGGACTTCACATATCTTAGAAATAAGTATTTTTTTTTCTCAGACACACAAGTTTCTACAAGATGGATTCCTTCACCGGTAAATCAGTAAATCTTCACTGGTAAATCAATACTCTAAACTGCAATAAACAATTTCATTGGTGCCACTAGAATCGAAGCCGGGTTGCTCGCATGTTAGCGAGCACTAAACTTCTATGTTACCATAGCTCAGATATAGTTATTCAAAGTTATTTATTAATACGGCACCAAACTTTTACTTAATGCCTAATAAGAAAGCCAAAGCCTGATATCAAGAGGTCATGAAATTTTTTATAGTATAGAAACTATAATACACAATAGAATGGCTGTCTATCTCACTTAATAGGAGGATTGGCGTCGCCGGGAGCACACATACAAGCAATTACGTCGTATTATCAATTATCACTACTTTAAACGCATTTAAGACTTTTGATTAATGTTTTTGACACCTAAATATTTCTTTATTTTTGTTTGTAATATTTACGAAATAATAAATAGTTTCGACTTGCTGGTTGTAGAATATGTTTCCTTTATTTGAATTCCATTTCCCGCTGTTCTTTCGACACGTTATTATTGCAAAATTTGCCATTTTTAAATAATTTGTATGCAGCGACGCTTGACATGAAAATTGGAAGCGATTAATTGTGTTGACACTTATACGTGTGAATTAACATGTTAGTGACATATTAGTGGCTACACGGGCTCCACCCACTCCCCCGTTCTATTATGTATGAATTATAGTATTTTATGGAAAATACGTACGACACAATTTACGTGTATTTAAATTAGTCTGCTTAGTCTAGTACAGACTTTGTTGGGTGCAATGCTCCAACCAATGTTGCATCGTCTCTCATAGAGTAGAATAGATTTTTTTTTAAATCAATTTAGATTAGAAGTAATTCTTATTGAAAGTAATTTTTTGCTTTTACCACTGTACAATAAAAACACAAGTTTTACAAATTACAAAACTTATTGAAGGAACAGCTTGGAAGCGACCACCTTTTATATATAATGATAACGATTTTTGTAGTTTTATTTAATAACGTATTTGAACCTGGTAATGGGAGGTCTTGTAAATTTTCCGAGACATTGTTGTTAAAAATAAAAAATAAATATTTTGTTACAAACCATCGCAGGCGCCATACTACAAATCGCACTCACCAAAGTTTTATTGTAATGGATGAATGGTACGAGTATAGTTATGTAGTCAAGATAAATAAAGTAAAATGCATTTGTATATAATATTATATGTATAAGCTACTACGATATCGTTCTGATTTCATGCAATAATTTTACTTTTTTTTTAAATCGTTACCTCCACAGTAGGATTTTCTCCTTTATAGTGGGGGCAGTTTACATATATAAATTTCACAAGAATAAATATAAGACCCGGAACAATATTTGTAGGTCATACAAATACTTGTTCCGTTTGGGACTCGAACCCGTGGCCCTTAGCGCTGCTAACATTGCTAAGCCGCTGCGCCACGGAAATAATAATCACATACAAGTTGAAACTCAATAAAAAAAGCTTGCATTTGTTTTAACCCTAGGATGTTAACAGGGGTGCCCCAACACCCCACGCCAGCAATCACGCGCCAATTTATTGAAAATTATTTGCTCTCTCGCTCTAGTATTTTGTGTATTTTTTTGTCTTACCGTGAGTCATTAGTAGCCGTTGCACGGTGGGACCGGCAATACGTCGATTTCGTTCTGCAGGTATGTGTGGGGTGTTGCGTCACCCCTGTTACTATTTACGTAGTTATTTTCTTTTGTTACTGTATTTTTTATATGTTATTTTCAGTTCATTATGGCGTTTCGTAATGATGAAGAGCTTGAGCGGTACCTAAATAATATGGTCGAGGATGATGATAGTGAAACAGAGCCATTAGAGGCGGAGGAGGCTTCTGAAAATGAAGATAACGTGTCCGTGCATTCCGAACAAGACGACATTATTTCCGGCTCAGATGAAGATGATGTGCCTTTGTCACAGCTTCGAGGGAGTGTTTTGAAAGGTAAGAATGGACATGTTTGGTCTACTTCTGCCCCATCATCAAGCAGAACACCTCAGCGTAACATAGTAACCATCCAAAGGTCTTCGCAAGTCGCAAGTCTTCTAATATTGAAATAGAAAAAGAAGCTTTTATGATTTTGTTCTCTAAACCTCTCGACATAGTACTTACATACACAAACCAAGAAATTAGTAGACGTGTTCCCAAATATAAAGACCAACGTTTTACTCATAAAACAGACAAAACAGAGATCGAGGCACTCATAGAGCTACTATTTTATGCCGCGGTAAACAAAGATAGTAAAAAAAGTGCAACTGAAATGTAGGCGCCCACGAGTACCCCTGTATACAAGTCAATAATGTCTGAGAGTCGGTTTCATTTTCTGCAACTTTGCCTAAGATTTGATGATAAGGACAGCCGTGATAAAAAGGATAAATTTGCACCTATTCGAGAAGCATGGAAGATTTTTATAAACAGTTGCACAAAAGCGTACCAACCACTCTGTTACGTTACGATTGATGATCAACTGTTTGGTTTTCGAGGAAAATGTCCCTTTCGTGTTTATATATCTTCGAAACCGGACAAATATGGTATGAAAATTGTGGCCATATGTGACGCTAAAACATATTATATGTTTGACGCAATTCCTTACATAGGAAAAGAAACCGAGGCGAAGACGGCAGCAGACTACGTCACAAAGTTAGCTGAGAGCATCAAAGGTTCTGGACGAAACATAACCTTTAATAATTGGTTCACCTCGGTGCCTCTTGCAGAACAGTTACTGAAGGAACATCGACTTACTTGTATTGGAACTTTACGTAAAAATAAACGTAAGATACCACCTGCTTTCCTACCGAATAAATCAAAGTCTGATATGTCCTCTCAGTTTGCATTTGATCGCGAGAAAACGTTAGTCTCCTTTAATCCAAAGGTAAACAAATCGGTGATATTGCTATCTACTATGCACAATAAGGAAGAGATCAATCCTACAACGTATAAGCCAGTTATAATTGATGACTACAATGCGACAAAGGGAGGCGTCGATACCTTTGACAAAATGATGCACAATTACACGACTGCGAGGGGTACTCGACGCTGGCCGCTTAGGTTTTTTTTCGGTATGTTAGATCAAGCAGGGATCAACTCTATGATTCTCTATCTAAAAGCTAAGCATCCAAACACATCAGCTAATAAGTTTAGAAGTAATTTCTTAAAAAAACTAGCAATGCAGCTAGCCGAGCCGCACATGAGACGACGCCTGGAGTCAAATTTACCTCGACAACTATCGGGAAATATAAGAGCCATTCTAAATGTCCCCGAAGAAGTTCCAGCATGTGAACCCCCCGCCAAATTGCAAAAACAAGCTCGATGTGCATTGTGTCCTCGAAAAAATGACAAAACATGAAGATTTTTTGTTCAAAATGCAAAAGACCTGCGTGCCCTGAACATCGTGTGGAAATTTGTCTCAGTTGTGTTTAATTTGCCATAAAACATTTTTTATAAATCTAATTTCTTTGTTACTGATTGATCTGAAGAAAAGTGTTCTTTAAGTGTGTTTCAAAAATAAAAAGTTTAATTTTTCATTAAATAAAAGTTTTTTTTTTCATTTTATTATCATGGGGTGACGTGACACCCCTGTTACCATGCGTGTTCATTTAAATTATGTTACCATCGTAGGGTTAATAGTGTTAACTCGAAATTTTGGACAGCAAAAACAAGTCAAAACAACGTAACTATAGCATTAAAAATAATTTGTTAATTTTCAAACCTCTATTCAGTAAACAATATAGAGTTACAATTTGTAAAATTCAATTCGGTTTAATTCTCGACTACAATTCTTTACTGACCCAATTTCCCCTTGAATCTGAATGACACTTGTCTTTCTCATGTCACATAAGCCTCATCACTGAGACAAGACCCTTTAAAAAAATCCTTTATCGATGTAATTTCTACGAAAATAATGGAACTCTATTGGAATTGAATTTCTTCAAATTGACACGAATATTTTTAAAGCTTTCATTTGTAAAGGTAAATATTCAGTTACGGTGTTAAGGTATCCACTCATCCATCTATTACAGCCTATAAAAGTCCACTGCTGTACGTAGGCCTCCCTGCATAGATTGCATCATAGGAGGGATTTTGCCATAGTTGCCACGCTTGGCACCGGGTTGGCAAACAAAATTTTTATAATTTTGGGTTGTTATCAGAAAGATGCTGCTGCCCATCTCCTGGTTTGTTTCTCGCTGTCACCTCTTTCTCCATATCGTTCCATGGGAGTCGACCCATGGGACGATATGGTGTAGTGGATATTCTTACTCCACCACTACACAGGACACGCCAGTGAGTTATTTATTGTCAAATTATGTATCTTGCTATATGTAACTGATTTTGTATGTTAAAGTTGATAACTTTCAACTTATTTCGATTGATGTAAATTTCCCAGTCAACCCATACAATTTGCAACGTCAGCCAGTTTGAGTATTTCATAATTAATTAGTTGCGACAAGCAATTTAAAATTTTCATGTTTGTTCAAGTTTCAATAACTTCAGGAAAGTTTTTCAATAAAGTCATGTTTTTAAGTATTCCAACGAAAGGACAATGGAAACAATGGAATGTCGAAATTACATTTTTTGGGTGTATGTCAATAATGAATATGTTCATAATGGATTGTAAAAAATTAAGGAGTCACAATGTGCCCCAGGAGTCACGAATATTTGTAATCTCTTCAATTTTTCATAAAAATTCTCGAAATATTTTCTTGGTTCTTGGTTTCCTTACACCGTAACGTCATAAAAACGAACATTGTGTACTTTTTCATAACTATTTCGTTTCTTCAGTTAAAATTTTAGACTCTCTAATAATAATATGATCACATTTACGAGGTGGAAGGACTGTTTTTCTGCGAGAACTCCACGTGGGTAGGTACCACCTTCTGCCGTGTTCGAATCTGTAGGGTTTAGAAAGCCAGTACAATTACAATCTATGAACAATTCCACCTCAACCTTTTATATAAAAACGCAGCTATAGGCTTCTTTGTTTTAAGTTCGCTCTTAAGGTGTATCCCTGACCAAAATGTTGCAAAAGTGCGTTTTTCAGATTCTATTACATCATTAGTTATGAAAAATAAACTACATCTAAAAGTACATTATTAATTGTTCGATATCTTATCATCACATTCCACATTCTAATTTACTCGTATTATTATGTGCTATAAATACATTTAAAATCAACTTTTAAAAAATGACTAAAATTCTTGATTACATGCATCTGTTGCTAAACGCAACACTCTAATCATTTGAGGATAACACTAATGAATAGATAATTAAAAAATCTATATTCTCCACGTTTTATTTAAATTTTTAAGTTCGTTTTTCTCTTTTAATTGAAATAATTCCGAAAATTGTATGAATTCTATGATAAAGGGGCGTGCGCAGAGTGCGGGCGGCATTCCGCTGTATGCGTTCGTACGAAGTGGCTGTGTCGCCGTTGCCGTTCCGTATTTCGCCGCAAACATAATATTATTTGAGTACATACCAACCTATGCGCTTACGTCACGGTATTATTATTTATACAATATTGTAACACGGCCGTATCTTTGAAATAAATTCTACAGCCGTGCGGTACGTAAACATGCGATAGGGCTGCCTGCCTCCAGCATTTTTACATTTGCCCATTGATTTACGTGTTGTATAACTGAATGCATTTGCCTACTTTGTGTTTGCATTTAGTTTTATGATTGTACTTAAATATACTTTTTTATATAAACAAATATATAATAGGTACTTTGTGAATTGAATAGGAAGTGTTCAATAAAAATGCGTGTCGTTTTTTGATTGGTAGATTTAATTAAAAAACCATGTTTATGTTTGAATAACAAATCGGTCTTATAAATTTGCGGCCTAAAAATATTTGCGCCTCGGCTGAGACGCACGAAATGCTTTATTATTAAAATTTTAAGTATAAAAAATCCGCATTATAATATAAAGCTTAATTAAAAATTGTTTTGGGAAACATGGACAAGTTGGAGTAAAGGAATATCTTTTACTTGGTTATAGATACCTGCAGCTACTTTACAATTTATATGTTTGGTTTTAAATGAAGTTTGGATTTTTTTTTTTCTATTATATTTTCTGAAAGGGTCCTAGGAAAGGAACCACCGCCATACCCCAATTCGTGTTGGCGAACTTCGCATGTCTTCGAAATTATTTTTTTTCTTATTTCCCAGACATGCAGGTTTCCTCACAATGTTTTCCTTCACCACTGAGCACGTGGTAAATCAACACTTAAAATTGCAATTACAATTTCATTGGTGCCGCCGGGGATCGAACCCGGTTTGCTCGCGCACTGTGAAAATTTCAGCAAGCGCTAACCATCTGAGCTACCACGGCTCCTCTCCTCTCGAGCTAGAGACTTTATTTTATTTATGGTATGATTTTTGTCGCGTGCCAGCGCTTACTTTTGGTTCTGGCAAAAAGTTGTGAAACGTCTGTGAACGTCAGAATTGTGCAAATGTTGGTCGCAGATATTTTACCTGCATTTCAAAATTTTATTGTGTGAGTATTTTAAATTATTTTTACGGATTTGATGAACCATATTAAATAAAAAATAGTCTCCTATCTTTCTCTCTATGTTTTGATCTCCTAAAACGAGTTTGAGTTGGTAAAATCAAGGCAAACTTAGGGTAGGGTTGTCAATTATTATTTTGATAATAAAACTAGTGAAATTCCGCGGTTTTATATGCGCAAGCGTGAACGTAGTTAGAACATAATATAACCTTTATGTTTTACATAAATATCCTAAAAAAACTTATTATTTTAATATGTTACTACCTATAAAATTAACAAGTTTATTGCATTTTTATTTGAGTAATTTTTTATGCAATTTCTTTATCTACGTCTATTTTTATACTACTGATTTACTTACTTATACGTAGTTTTCTTTTTTGTAGTTACAAATATTTTGTGAGGTTGAAAAAGGCAGTACTGAAAAAATAATAAGAAGAATAATAATTGACGTCAGCCACTTCTTTTCATAAAAATTTCAAATAATGGTCCATTCGGTTGCAGCTTCACCGAACCACAACTTATATATATGTATGGGCGTATGTATGCACATATG